AAGTGGTAAATTAAACTGTCAAGGATACACTGCTCATAAGATGTTGATTCCCACTAGTTTCTTGGAAAGTTTCAAAGTCTGTGATCTTCCACAGTACCCAGTTGGTGGCATGCTAATTGCTTAAGTGCTCCTAGAGTCCAGATGAAGAAAGTTCAGTGTACAATGCTCTGAGGGTACAAAGGACTCCAGAAATAACCTAGTTGCATTTGTCATTAGCTTTCCTGTCCACGTTGCCTTTTCTTAGTCAGGTTCAGTCCATCTAGAACTTAAATTTCAATGGAAACAGAGAAGGTGAATGTGGTAGCAGACATCACTAAGCACTCTCAAAGCCTTCTTGTTACTTTGAAACTGTCTAAAAAGCCCATTCTTTCTACCCACTGGGTCCCCACCTTCCCTGCCAAGTCTGTGTTCTCTGTTCGGTTCATTATCAGCACCGCCCACGGCCAGACACAGCCAGGCGGCTTCACAGAAGCCAAAGAGCTTATCAGAAATAAGTACTTTATTTGACAGTGAGGCCAGATGTGGAGAGAGAGGCATTTCAAGGCCCTCACTTCTCTTCTCATAATTAGTCAGCTTCTAGCAATGATGAGAGTCGGAGGACGTCAAAAATAATGAATGACCTTCTCAAGCAGCTCCAGTGAGGGAGCATTGCTTCAGAACCCATCACAGGATTCTAGAATGTGAGCATTGAGGGAGAGCCTCAAAATACTGGCAAACCTCCCTTGTAGAGATGAGGACAAACTCCCAGAGAAAAGTGATGTCGTCTGTCCAGCCACTCTCTACATATCCACTGTGCACCTGCCATGTGTCAGGCAGGGACCTAAACCCTAGGAGGGGATGAATGCAGAAAAGACACATTCCCTCACCTTGAAAAAAAAAAAACAAAAAAAAAACAGAGCTTTATGAGAGATACTGACACATTTATCTCAGGCCCATACATGTCTATTACAGGGCCAACTAACGCATGGGTCCCCACTGCTCACCAGAACAACAGCCATTACAGCAGTCGCAGTGGTCCAGACCCATCCCCATAAACATGTCTACAGTTCCCAGAAGACTGTAAAGATTTCTGTAAAGGTCTTTTGTGACTCTGGGATTTAACACAACATCTCAGGATGTGCTGTTTAAGCTAAATTGAGTCAAATGAATTAATGAATGAATCACACTGGAACAAAATGAACAAAAAGTTGTTTTGTTCCAGGGTGATTCATTCATTAATTCATTTGACAAAACACAGTTCCTAACCCCAATGATTAGGACTTACTGTTGAAGGATAGAGAGGTACGTAATTACAGTAAGTCCCATGACACCACAGTGGAAGGTGAAGAAAGAATGCAGACGGTACAACTGACTGTCAGGAGAGTCTCCCCCATAGCAAGGTACGGATAAGGACCGTTTGTTCTCATCTCTGTAGCATCCCAGCATGCCCCCACCTGGGATCCACTTCTTCTGTTCATCACCTGTCCGCTTCAAAGTGCGAACAGCCCAAGAGGCAGAGGGCGCGTCTCCCTTTCCCATTCCTCAGCATTCAGCAAGTGTTCAATAAACATTTGTGGAAGGAATATATTTGGTTGGGAACAGAAAAATGCATTACAATTCCATAACAGAAATACGAAGTGATGATATGCTTATACACAGGAGGAAGTGACTAACTCTGCTAGAAGGAAAAAAAAAAAAAAAAAAAAAAAAAAAAAAAAAAACCAGGGAAAAAAAAAAAAAAAAAAAAAAAAAAAAAAACCAGGGACAATATCTCATACACAGATTATTTATTTATTATTTATTTGAGATGGAGTTTTGCTCTTGTTGCCCAGACTGGAGTGGAACAGAACAATCTCCGCTCACTGCAACCTCTGCCTCCCAGGTTCAAGTGATTCTCCTGCCTCACCCTCCCAAGTACCCAGGATTACAGGTATGTGACACCAAACCAAGCTAATTTTGCTTTTTTTTTTTTTTTTTTAGTAGAGATGGGGTTTCTCCATGTTGGTCAGGCTAGTCTCAAACTTCCGACCTCAGGTGACCTGCCTGCCGCCACCTCCCCAAGTGCTGGGATTACAGGTCTGAGCCACCACACGCAGCCTCTTATATACATGTGTACACTCACACACATGCACCTATTGCAGTGATCACACCAACCATTAAGCAAGTCTTACTTATGGAGCCCTAACTATTCACCAGGTATAGTCTCAAGTGTTAATGCTCACAACAGGCTCATAAGAAAACTAATATTATTACCTCCATGTTGCAGATGAGATGGAAACAGAGGCACAGATAAGTGGGAGGTGGCCTTTCTTAGGTCAAAGAGCTAGTAAAAACAAGAGTCGCAGTATAAATCCACATGCCATCCCACTAGACCATGACCTCCAATTAGGACAGTTTCAAGGAAAGAGAAATGAAATCATTTCTACAAAACCAAAAGCAATCAGCACACAGCTAGCAGGCCCTGGGAACACAGCAGGGCCCTTCATGCCTCATTCCAATAACCCACAAACCTGAATGCACAAACCTAACCCAAACCAACAAAAATTTGGTGATTCTCAACCATCTAAAGAGATTTTTTTTTTAATACCAAAGCCGAGATCCCTCTCTAGATCAATTAAATCTTAATCTATGACGTACGGTGGGAATGAAGTGGATAGTAGCAGATTTTGCAGGTCCGTAGGTGACTATGGTATACAGCCAGGACTGGGAATTCCTAGACGGATTTGTTTACAGGGGACAAAACAGGACTCTAGCAGGAGGAGCGGCCGGGAAATTGCCAAGGATCAGGCAAGAGAGCAAGAAAGGATGTCTTGACCGTTTGACTACTGTTTCCCTAGGCTACTGATTCACGTGACTCGAAATGGGGTCTCCATCAACTCTGCCAGAACTCCTGGCACTCCCAACAGGGCCAACGCTGGCTCACATTCATTTGAAGAGTGTGCTCAACTGCCTGCAACCTTAATGCTCTGCCTGAGGGGAGTTGAAGAACTTGCTAAGCTCACTCAACTCCAGAGGCCTCCATTTTCTCATTTGCAAAGTAAGAATAATAAAAGATGTTTCAAAGGGCATTTGTGAGCATTAAGGGGATGCTGATATTGATGAATTTACTAAAATGCAGAACAAACAGAAAAGCATCAGCCTCAGAGAAAATGTTATCATTTCCACCTTGGAAAAGCTGAGCAGTGAAGAATACGGTAGAGACCTGGGTCCCAGCCTGGTTTGGCCTTTCCTAGCAAGCCTAGAAATCACTCTGCCCATGGTTTCCTCTTCTGCCAGCCAAGGTACTGCAATAGCCCCTTCATGCATTCCCTCATTGAGCAAATGTGTATTGAATGTCAACTCTAATGTTCTGATATTAAATCATAGGAGATAATGTACGTATAAAAATGCTTTGGAAATTTTAGTGCGCTCCACAAATAAGAGGGAATTGTTTCTGTTTGTAATGATTCATTGTGAGCTCATAAGTCCCAAGGTCTACAGGGACCTATGAGGAGTCATGTCACAGTGCAATGCTTGGACCCTTTCAGCCCCGCCCCCTCTCAGTAGTAATACAGTCCCTGTGCGGATATCTCCAGTGATGAGATCCCAACCACTGTCAGAGACACAGCATTCTCTCAAGTTCCTTTTCCTTTTATTAGGTTGTTTCCTGTTTGCTTGCTGTTTCTACCTCTCCATTTTGGTTCTGATCTTTGGGACCACAAAAAGTATATTTGACCTCCTCTCAGCCTTTCACTAATCGAATATCACCATCATCAAAGTCCAGCCTCCTAACTCCTCTCCACATCTTCTCTCTGTGAAGCTAAGATGGCCCTGGTTTCCTTGTATTACTCGGTTTGGAAGGCCATAATAGACTACCCCAGGCTGGGTGGCTTAAATAATAGAAAATTAATTTTTGCACAATTCTGAAGACTGCAAGATCAAGGCGCCACTATGATCCGTTCTGATGAAGGCCCTCTCCTTGCATTGTGGATGATTGCTTTCTCACTGTCTCCTCACATAGCAGAGAGAGAAGAGAGACAGCAAGCTCTCTGGGGTCTCTTCTTTTGAGGGCACTAATCCAATCATGAGGGCCCCACCTTCATGATCTCATTTAATCTTCTTTATCTCCAAAGGTCCAACTCTTAATACTGAATACATGGGGGTTGGGGTTTTCAACATACACATCTGGGAGGAGGAAAACAATTCAGTCTATAACACTTCCCCCAAAAGTTTCTCTTGCTAAGCAGAAGTAAATCTGATTGAGACACTGACTAAGTACCCACCATGCCTCCAAAACATGACTTGTATATGCTGAAGAAAACAATTTGATTGCCCTAGCATCAAGACACATATACTCTAGAGATTGTTACCATCTACATTTTAGAGGTCCCTGAATCTTCAGAGAGAATGAGCCAGAGGCCTGGGTTAGGGAATTTACAAAAAGAGTCAAAGAAGTCAAGGCAAGAAGAAAACATAGCCCCACCCTTTGATTAGATTTTATCATAGAGATGAGGACTCCTGAATCAAAATCACAAAATCTCAGCCCATTCACTGTTGACTGACTGCCTTCTCTGGACCATGCTGCAGTGATCACAGCAGCAATAAACATGGCAGGCAAATGTACCAACCCTTGGGGGATGTTAACTTGTTTTCTGCTATGGGAGTGAGATCAACCATGTGTGATTCAAAGGGAAGAGTCATGTGAAACTTCCCTGTACTCCTCAAGCCCAGCACAGAGCCTGATCCAGAGAAGATGCTCAATGATGACACCTTGTAAAACAACAAATAACAGCCAAGACCTCTCCTGAGTGTGCTGAAGGGCAGCCACAGGGCTTCCTAAAAATCAGAGGCCATTTGCTATTAAAGAAAGCCATGAGTTTTGTGCAGTGGCAGGGTCGTAGCCAATGAGGTTTATCTAAGGTGCAATTATTGCTGTTAGAAAGCCACAGATGGTTCTGGAGACCAGAGCCATGAAAATCCTTGTTCTTGTGCAGAAAAGAAGGCAAACCAGGGACTGAACTTGGCTTTTGATGATGACTCACCATCATAATCCCAGGTCTTGATGACAGGTTAAATCTTGTAAAACTTTAATTTGGTGAAGAAGTTGGCTGCTGCGTTACTGTGTCACGTGTCTTGGGAGAGCTCCAGTTTCTGTCACGCTAGCATTAACTGAAAAATGGGATGAAATATGAAGACATTTTGCAGTTTATAAGATAAAAGCACCAGGGAGTTTTAACAGTTTGGAGACGTATCATCCTAAAATTGGGCTCCAATGGTCACTGAAACCATTGCTGCATTCAGTAAAACTGGGCTGCCTAAAGCTACTGCCATGGAAGTGAGAATCTAAGACATGGTTTAGGAGGCATGAATCAGTCACATAGAGGCCTGATGCACAATATGTCCAATGAAGCTTCCACCAGAGAACAGAAAAGCAGTAGCTCAGCAGAATTGCAACTTCTGATTTTAAGTTTCTGTCAATCTGTTCCAACACTTAGCAAAAGATTCTTGCTGTTTCGCCCCAGAAACACTTTTATCTTATCAGTTGACTTCCCTGAAATCATGCCGTACTGGGCTATGATTCTTACTCAAGTGTAGTTCCTATGTCAGAATCTTATCAATGAGAAATTTCACATGATGGCGTGCCAAAATATCTAATACCACACTTGCATGTTTTTAATTCCAACAGAATTAGCAGTGCATCTTCGACACAGTGCGGTTTACCATGGTAGTCATCTCAAAGGCCGAAGACGGAGACTGTGCTATGTGATTATTTACCTGCTTAGCTTGGGTTCCGGTTGTTCACATTCACAGCAAGACAGATTAGGACTGGCACAACCACTGCTTTTACTGGGTTTACCAAGTGTCAACAGATCCTTCAATGTGTTTCTCAAAATTTCTGTTGACCTATGATAAAGAAAAATAAGATCTATTTTGAAAAAAAAATCACAGAACTCGAGTTAAAGCTTCATTTAATACCACCTATATGTCTTTAACATCTTGACACAAAAAAAGCTTTACATTTCAATAATGTTTCCCCTTTGGGGGCAATTTAACAGGGAGGGCTTGAGAAAAAGAATAAAAGAGAGCTATTAAATACATTTCTTGTAAAGTTACTTGTGTCTTGGCTGGGAGCGAAGGCTCACGCCTATTATCCCAGCACTTTGGGAGGCTGAGGCAGGCGGACCACAAGGTCAAGAGATCAAGACCATCCTGGCCGACATGGAGAAACCCCATCTCTACTAAAAAAAAAAAAAATGCAAAATTAGCTTGGTGTGGTGGCACATACCTGTAATCCCAGGTACTTGAAAGGCTGAGTCAGGAGAATCACGTGAACCCAGGAGGCGGAGGT